GAATCTAAATTTTTTTAAAGAATAAAAATTTATGCCATTTATACGTATTATAAATTAAATAAAAATTACAACCCTCCTCCTTTATTCGGGTTTGGGACTAACTACAACCATCGTAGGCAAAAAAATGGAGACTGGAATACTGAATATTGAATAAAGAAATTGAAAATCGATCGAAGTAAATTGATATGAAATTGTAAAATTTTTTTGCTTATTTATAGCAAAAAAAAAATGTATATGTTTCGACTACATTTGAAGTTCAAATTTAAATTTTTAAAAATTGGGAAATTTACATTATCTGCCTAGTCAAAAGGCAAACTGACAGGCAACTATGTTTAATTTTTTGTTAATGAAGCTCGACTCAGCTCGCCTGGGCCGAAAATGGCCCGTGATAAGGCCGGCCCATGTGGGGTTGGCTTGGACTCGAGATGATGTCCCAAAATAGGGCTCAGCTCGAGCCACAAACAGCCCGAGCGGGTGAGCTATTTTGACATCCCTACTTGGATCTTTTTTTTTCTTCTTTTTCTCCTTGTGTGGCGCATACACGTGAAGGGTTGTTATGCATATGTCTACTGAGTGCAACTGACCTAGCTGGTTTGCTCGACCTCCAGTTCTTCAGAAATTGCACAACTACATATTAGCATTATAGTTTCCTCAAATTTCGGTCCCTGATCTTTTAGTTTATTCCATTTGATCCTCTAACTTCTGGTTTCTTCCATTTTGGTAACTTATAAATTCTTCAATTTTGGACATTTAGCTTTCCTGTCTTCATTTTGTCCCCAAACTTTATGAAATCTTCCAATTGAGTCCTATAATTTCCCAGCCTTTATCTAACACCGTTTTTGTATCCAATCAACTCTCCAAATCATTTCATTTTGATTTATTTATTCACCTCCAAAATAGGATTTATCCTAAAAAAAATCAAACACACCATTAGGTGAATAAAAACTAAAACAGGTCCATACAACTTTTTAAAAAATATATTCAAAACACGTTTTATTTATTGTAGTTTTAGACTCCCTCCATTTGTTGATCATCTAGCCCACTTCCTCCTGTCAATAAACATTAAGTAGTGAACAATGCCATGTTTGTACATCTATTGACCAAATGCAGTGCTTCCCTGTCTGCATTTAATGTAAGGCAAGAAAATTGAAGCCTCTCCACCTAAACAAAGAAAATAAATTAGTTAATTAAGTAAAAAGTGGTACGAAAACGACGAGTTTTATCGTCTTTCTTTTTCAGTTCATCACTTGTCACATATCATACGTCAACCGATGCTAAAGATTAAGAACTTACAACTACAAAGTTTCAATTATTGTGTGCAGATATAAATAAAATGGTATATTTCTCACGTTATATCAAAGAATACGAAACTGAAGAGAATTGAGATATAGAGATAGAGGATTTTGTTCAATTTTATTGAGTCAAATGTTCTAAACGTATTATAAAATAACTTGCCAAATAGTGGTGACAATTCCCGTCCTTGCCTCCTCCTTCCTCGATCCCCGATCAAGGCTAGGCTAGGCGGGGCGGGGCGGGGCAGGGCAATCTCTTGTTTATTGTCCCCTTTTTATTTTTAATAATTACAGCAAAAGCCCAAAACCTTTGAAACATTATTAGACTTTTCTCAAACATTTGATTTGTTGCAACCGTCACCCCTAACCTTTTCAAATGTTGCAGGTGAAACCCTTTTGAACAGTTTCCATATGTCAGTTGATCAAAAATTTAACTTTGACCACATTTTTAATATTTTAAAATGGGGGAAAAGAACAACTTTCCATTTATAACAATAAAAAACAAAAAAAATACACACACAGAGAATCTGATATGATCCAGGATGGGTAATCACTTGGTCGAGTTTTGGAGTCCAAATTGAAGAAGTTGACAAGCCAATGTTCAAGTTTCGTAAGAGGCTCGGGAGCCGAAACGAATTGGATTCAGGGTTTGGAAGATATTTGGAAAGAAAACGAGTAGCGTGGATGAAAAAGGGCATAACTTTCAGTTCGGTTGTCGGATTTTTGCCCATGAGTACATTCCGGAAATGACACGAAATTTTGCACAAGGATACGTGAGCTCATGATACTTTTGGGCTTGCGATCGTACAGAAACATGCAGAAAACAAGTTGGCGAATTTTTCATATTTTCACGAGATTTCCTTGTTAGTCTAGGATTCTATTTTATTTCCAATTTTGACAATATTTTATGATTTAATTATGTTTTATTAGGGTTTCTAGCATTAGTATAAATAGAAGATTTATTTCATTGTAAAACTAAGAACCTTTTTAACATTATGAATTAAATGAGATTTTTCTCTTTTTATTTTTGATTGAACATGTACCGAACTTATCAAATATTGTTATATTTGTGACGTTAAACCTTAGAACTTACCAAAGAATTAAACACCCTTTGTGGCGTTCGCAAATTGAGGTTTGTTGATTTTGTAATCAAGAGGTCATTCAAACTTTGTTTTTGTTTGGTTGCTTGGTTCAATAATTTGCGGGTTGAGATTCTACCGTCTACAACTTGAATTTGGGCTTTCCCAACGTTTTCAATTAATTTCGCGATTTCCACGCTGATCTCGTACCCGGGTTCCGTCACAATCGCCTTCTTCCTCTCAACCCTTACCCACCACCTCCACCTCCACCTCAAACTCAAATGCCCAATTAGAATAACAGAAAGAAAAATTAATCAAGAATTTGATTTTAACTTTCCATGAAATGCTTGAACATCTCTCTTGATCTCTGAGAATATATTCTCTTCTAATTAAAAGCTATAACTTAGCCTTTAGGTCTGTGGTCTCAGCGTGGTCTGTATTTCTTTGAATTTTTGGTGAATAATGTCTGTTTGCTCTATTCTAGAGTTGGGGGTCTGTGGGATGATTTGAGGATTCTTTGGTACAAAATCTAGGGTTGCTTTTTTTTTTTCTTTTTTTTTTTTCTGGGAAAGCTGTGTAGTGACTTTTGTGGCTGAAAAATCTGAGCTCATGTGTTTATGGTCTGAAGGAAAGAAGGAGGCCTACGAGTTCGTAGGTTATCTGTTTTTGTGTAACTTGTACATTCAATCTTGTAATCTATGAAGTTTTAAGGATAAATCCCAATGTCGTTGAGACCAAGTGCCGACATTACCCCGTACGAAAGTAGACCTTTCACCTTCCTATTTTGCTTTCGGAAGTGGCTAGTTCATCTTCTTCTTCTCTTGTCCAAAGAAACTTACCGAGTGCCAAGAAAACCAGAAAATAAAGATTAATCAAGAGTTTCTAATTATAACAACATACAAAAAGAATGCAGAATCCATTTCCTCAAAAAGATTTATGGGAAGCAAGAGTCCACAACAAAACCAAAAACAATGTCAAAGATCGACTGACAAACCCACAATTCCAAGACCAGTCGAAGGAGCGAGATTTGCAATTCTATCAGTAGCAATGCATAGCAATTGAAAAGTCTTAAAGGAGGAAAATCCTCAAAAACACATTCACAAAATTGTTGAAAAATCATATCACAAATATGTTCCAGCCACCAAAATGAGCAATTAAACAACAATTAACTAAATCCCATATTCCAAATTCGTCTCAGCAACCATAAAGAACAGTTAACAAAAAATTAAAACGAAAAAGATCCAAAAATAAGTGGAAGCTTTTGGTAGAAATTCTGAAAATCCACTTCTCAATTTTTTTGGACTGTAATGGTTGAAGAGCTGCCGATGTAGCAACATTAGTAATAGAATCATTATTATCGGTTGTTGATGCTTGTAATGATTGGTGGAGGTGGTGGTGGTGGTCAGTGTGGATGTTGGGTTTGAGGTGGGGGTGGGTTATGATCGAGAGAGAGAAGACGATTGTGTGTGTGTGTGTGTTTTTTTTTATTTTTTATTTAATGTCATAAATGGAAATTTATTCTTTTATCCATTTTTAAAATATTAAAAATGTGATCAAAGTTAAATTTTTGGTTAACTTATAGAATTATGGCTGGAAACTGTCCAAAAGAACTTCACCTACAATATTTGAAAAAGTTAGGGGTAGCGACTGCAACAAATCAAAAATTTAAAGAAAATCTATTAATATTTCAAATGTTTGAGACTCTTCCTACAATTATCCTTCAAGAAAACCCCAATCACTTGTAGTTAGTTGCTTACTTTAAATTTATACTCCTAGCCTACGATGCAGACCAATATTTTAAACACAAATGGATCTCCCAAAGCCTCAATCGTGAGCACAAGTATACTAATACTTTATTTATCGTTGAAATAAAAGTAATAAAATCATTTTCAAATAAATCAGATACCTTAAACAAGAAGGTATGTAAAAAATTACAACAAACATCATTTTAAACTAAGTGAAAAATTACACAGATCTTGACTAGATAATTATCACGTTCAATAATTGACGTATGGGATTATAGCAATTATTTGTTACGTATAATAACTTCAACGCGTCATGCAAGAATCTATGTCAAAATTATAGTAATCGACATTTGTAAATGATAATCTCAATGCAGAAATTACACGCATCTTGACTAAAATCTAAATACTATGTCGAATTCATAGCATTGCTATTCAAAATATGGTAATCTTAACATAAAAATCGCATAAATCTTAATACTTAAATATCGAGTGAAAATAAATTGTAATAATTAGCAACCTTCTATGATCTTAATGTGTCAATCGCCTAAATATTGACTAAAATCAAAATTCTTCGAATAAGAATGGGATTATGTCCTGCACATGTATCCAAGGTGCTCTATAAATACTCTTGCTAATTACACACTTTGAAGACGTCAAATATTCCCAAATTCTTTGGAGTAGTTTGCTATAAATTGATAGTACAGGGGCCAATGTGCAAATTAACACTCAACATTTTTTGTATCTACAACGTGGACTTTTTAAGTTCTCGATGAGAAAAGGAACTCTACAGAGACGACTTTCAGATTCTAAGCTGAAACCAAGAAATGGAACAGAGATTTTCTCCCTGTAAGAATCCCTTTTCATTTTAAGCGTGAAAAATATTATTTGTCATATATAAAAAGCAAAATTCGAGCAAACTCCGATGTCTGAGCGAGAACAATCATCGTCTGGACCTCCGAAGTCTGTACGGCCGACGATCACTTTGCCGGCTCGGAGTTCAATGGATAATTATTTTATCGGCGGTCCAGGAGCGAGCCCAGGTCCGATGACTTTGGTTTCCAGCTTCTTTGCTGAAAATGAACCAGAAACTGACTTCCGGTCGTTTTCACAACTGCTTGCCGGCGCCATGGCGTCTCCCACCGCGGTGCCAAATGTCAGGCGTGACTTTCCTCCGTCTCAGGATGCGGCAGTTCATAGGAATTCTGTCGGTGATGTGTTTCAGCTGAATAGGCCGGCGGGTTTGGTGGCGTCGGAGCAACTGGGCGTGTTTACCATACCGCCAGGATTGAGTCCGGCAGGGTTGCTTGATTCGCCGGGATTCTTTCCACCGGCTCAGGTATTCAATTAAACGTTGAATTTACGTTTCATAATTATTATGGAGAAATTAATTTATACGTGCATTTGAATATAATTTGTGAATTATTTGAATTCTGTATAGCAGGAGCGAAAGATGGAATTTTTTTGGGTCCAAAACTGAAAATTTTGATATGAAAAAATCAATGATTTGTTTGATATAATGTTTGAAAAAGAAGATATATGTCTTTTGTGAGTAATTTGAGAGAGTTTATTAATTGTTGTGGCTTTTTGCTTAATATAGGGTCCTAATGGGATTTCTCATCAAAAAATGCTGTCTCAAGTTTCGGCTCAGGCTCTGGCTCGACAACAGATGCCGCCCCCGATTGCCAGCCATAACATCACGAAGGAGTTATCGGACATTTCTCATTCTGATCAGACATATCAACCTTCTAACTTGACCGTTGATAAACCTGCAGAGGATGGGTATAATTGGCGCAAGTACGGGCAAAAGCAAGTGAAGGGCAGCGAGTATCCTCGAAGCTATTATAGATGTACGCATTCAAATTGTCCGGTCAAGAAGAAAGTCGAACGGTCTCTTGAGGGACAAATAACTGAGATCATATACAAGGGACAGCATAATCATCAGCCACCCAGTAAGCGTGGAAATTCGAATGGAACCTTGAATGTTCAAGGGAGCTCTGAGGAGTTGCCTTCTTATTCGTTGTCTACTAAAGAAAGGGAATCGAGCCAGGTTACACTGGAACATGTATCTGGATCAAGTGACAGTGAGGAAGTGGGTAATGCTGCAACTAGAGTCAATGGAAGGGATGATGATGAACCACAATCCAAGCGAAGGTACACGTATTTTTTCGAGCATGACAACCTGCGGACAGCTATTGCTTATTCTGTATATATTGAGAAGTGTCTTATCTTAAAATGTTGGCAGGAACATAGAGGTTCAGACGTCAGAACAAGTATCGAACCATCGGACAGTTACAGAACCTAGGATCATTGTTCAGACGATCAGTGAAGTTGACCTTTTAGATGATGGTTATAGGTGGCGAAAATACGGCCAGAAGGTCGTTAAAGGAAACCCTTACCCAAGGTATAACATTTGAATCGGTGCACTAATGTAGACCCTCGCTTGTTCATATTGCTCTCGGGTTTGGATTAGGTGCTTGTAATGAATCTCTGCGTATATCTTCTTCGGAATCTTTTCTGAATAATCTTAATTCTGTTTGCAGAAGCTACTACAAGTGCACTAGCGTCGGCTGCAATGTCCGCAAACATGTTGAAAGGGCTCCAAGCGACCCAAAAGCCGTCGTAACAACATATGAGGGCAAGCATAATCACGATGTACCTGCTGCCCGCAACAGCAGCCACAGCGCTGCTAACGCTACTTCACAGGCAAGACCCCTCAATACTTTGATTGATATGCAATCTGCAAATAGAAGAACAGAATTTGGGAACAATGAGCAACAGTGTATTGCACTCTCTGGATTCAAAGAAGAACAAATAAATTAACCGATGAGAGTTGTTTCAGTGAGATTTATGTCGTGTTGTTAGCCTGTTTTGCATCATTTTGAAGTATACAGAAACAAAATACAAAGACGAGAATTGAATAGGATTGTTTGTAAATGTCATTTACTACAAACAGTGTTTGGAATGCATTATTTCTTTAAAAGCCTTTGTAATGCCAGTATTGTGTAATGTATTGTGAAAGTGGCTTTTAACCCTTGTGTTGGAACATTGAGAATGGATCTTTGAATATTGAGACCATAACGAAAGGTGTCAAATGCTGTAGTTTAGTACTTATTTCGAGATACTTGTAAATTGTAATTGGTGTTAGCTTCCAATTTTCGAGTTTAATGAGTCTATAGTTCAAGTAAAATTTAAATGTTACACTTTTGTCTATCATATTCTGAAAGGGTTTGTCTATACGTACATAATTTTATGTACATAATGGTGTTCAAAAATAGATTAAATTAAACGGTTCGAAAAAATTTCAAACCATTTCTTCAAAATGATTTGAAAATCGCAACAAATGGTTTGATTTGGTTTCAAAATCACAATTTCGTCGATTTGACAGATATACCCTCACCCTACTAATATCTAGTGCGGGAGGTTTCCAAAATTTTCCTATGACTACATTGATGTTTTATCTTACACATTTGTCAAGATCAAGAAATTATGCTGGCCATTGTCAATTGCGAAAATGAAAAAATATTGACTCACTCGTCAAGAAATCAATTCATCAACAATATTGAACCATTGGAGATTAGTGAATGAATCAGCCAATTGCTCTCTATCAGTCGTAGTAGGGCCGTGTCACACAGTTCGAGAAGCGTGGACCCAGCGTTACTTTTCTTGCTCCACCCAAGAGCATAACATAAAAATAAAGTCTAATATATCTGAACGAATTTCTTAACCTGTTTGGATAATTAGCTTGTTCAGTTTTGACATTAGGAGGATAATGATAATTTATTTCTAATTTTCGTTAATGAGAAATTATTTACTTAAAAAACATTTTTATAAAGTTGCTTATAAGTAATTTTTTAAAACTTGACAATGCACATAGCCACCAACCCCTTGGACCGTCCAACACGTCTGGAGAGTCGGGGGTTCATTTGAAAAACCCAACATTGGTTTTCTCTTACGAAAGTTCAGGCGAGACACTGATTTCTTGACTAATCAGGTAATTAAGATTTTTTCAAAAATAGATTTTTGGTCATTTTTTTAGAATTTTGATTTACAGTTCTAAAAATCCGCTAATTAGGATTTCAATTATCCTATTTAGAGATAAAGAAAAATTACAGAGAGAGATCTTATTGTCTTCATAGTTTCTTCATCGTATTTCCTTGGACAAATAAATCTACAGTGTTCACATCGATTTTGTTTTGACCATATTTTACACAATTCCTTTGTAGGGTCAGACGCGTTATATTTTACACCATTTCTCTCAGCGACATCTACAGAGTATGAAACTACTTGCTACCATTATGAGTGTGCATGTTTGGTTTGAAAATTTCGCGACTTGGTTAAGAAAATGAATAGAAATGGCGTTGCTATAAATAATTCCACGTGATCGACGTTTCATGTGAGCCTTAATATAGTTACTAACTCGGAGAATGAAATCGCGACCCCTTCAAAATCTGGTATGACTTAATGAGACAGTTAACTGACTTTAATCATAAAATATGTTAATGGAATATTATGACGTATATTGATCTTTATTGTGACTAGAGTTGTGCCATCACTCATGTTAAGTGACATATATCTATTTGTAACACATTTTCATTTTTTATTATTGTGACCAAATATGACGTGAATGAAATATGATAGTTATGTTATGTTATTTGAGACACATTATTATTTGTGACCTCTATCTCTTCCTCGCGCAAAACACAAACAAGCTCTATAACATGTTAAAAAAAGGGAAACGCCTGTCATACATGATTTGATAATTTGAAAGAAAAAAATCCAAACGATGTTGCCACATATCACCTGTCACTCCTCAATGTCAATAACCCTTTTCAAAGAGAGAGATTCTAATTGAAAATCAATTTTTTAGTGAATTTTGATTGAAAATTGATGGAATGTATGGTTGGAAAGTCGTGAATTCTATAAAATGTGTCAATAAAATTAATTGTTGATTTTAATTGAACCAAATATGGGTTATCAATTTTTTTTTTCTTTTCAAAAAAGTAAAATAATAAGATAGGGAAAGTAATAGGCTGCCTCCCAAGCAGTTTCTATTCCCTCCAATATTCTACGCTATAAATTAAGTCGCATTTTACATTTACCCTATTGGTTGCAAAAGCGTCCCATTATTATTAAAATTATGCGCTTTGTACACTCATTGTGTACATTAAGTTTGACACTCTTTTGCAAATTCAAAAATGGAGTACCAAGAAAGTATATTGTATTTTTAAATTGGCCAATCGTACTGCAACATGTGGCACAATGTCAAATTTAATGTCAAAGACAATGTACTTGTAGCATGATTGATTATTAAAATTATTATTATTATTATTATTTAATCTCTAATGTAAAATGTGAAGCGATGTAAGGGTACACTCCCGCCACTGTAGTAAAGAGGGAAACAATCTATCTACTCTAGACAAAGCTCAAGGTTAGGGTTTTACACACAATTTTTTTTTTTTTAAAATTAAATCACAGAGATTTCGAATCTCTGTCGCCACCGATCAAACCAACAATATATATATTTTTTTTCTGGAGATTTTGAGTTAGAAAAAAATACGCGTCAATATTCATATAAAGATTGCAGCTTGTCGAAGTGAGTGTTTTTTGTTCTAATTCTGCTTCATGATAAAAGCTCCCAATGGCTTGGTGGGAAGGCGTAAATGAAACTCGTGTTCTGATTGCACCAGGTATTATCTTGCATACTGATTTTATGCATTTGGTACTTGACGTTTTTTGTTTGTCTACATTTATTATACAATGTAAATTTATCAGCTGAACCGAGTTTTAATTACTAATATCTGTTCATTAGAATTCTTTTGAGCTTGGCTTCAATTTTTATTTTATCAGTTTCTCCTTTTTATTTCTTTATTTCCCGTTTTCTCGGGATTAGGGTAGAGATAGATGTATTTTTGCATATTTCTGTAAATTTTACAAGTTTCATGTGTTTCCCATATATCAATATATTGCAATGGAACAAAGTTAAAGCATGTCAACAACTTCCACTGAGAGTTTGCGTCATTTCAAGAGTTAGGGTCTGAGCGAAGAACACGGGTTACAACATGACAAATGCATGAAATTTGTTTTATAACTATTTCTTGATGTTATATTACAACTGTAAAGGAAAACTCTGAATTCTTGTGGTAATTTTATTCAAGCATACATACCTTGAGATGTCTTTGCATCGCAATTTATTCACCTATGATGTTATATTACAACTGTAAAGGAAAACTCTGAATTCTTGTGGTAATTTTATTGAAGCATACATATCTTGAGATGTCTTTGCATCGCAATTTATTCACCTATCTCAGTTCTTGGATGATTTGCCATGCTGTCTACTTCTTTTAGCTATTGTTGACCTATTTTTCTTTTCTGGATGGCCCGGGATCCAAGTTTACTTGCAAAATTGTAGTACTACCCTTCCACAATTTTAATAACCTTTGCCTTTGACGGAAAAAAAGGTGCCAACACACATAGTCTAGCTTTCCAATTTTATTGTACAGTAAACACGCAGGCCCATTTGATAAATTAGACACCAGATGCACATGCCATTGATTCCTTGTGTTTTCTGTGAAATGTATTTGTACATCTTATATATTTCCCTTGGAAAATTATTCAGTGAACTTTAGAGACTATTTATTTATCTCACCAACTGCAAAAGAACTAACAAATTACTGTAGGGTGAACTCGAATTTTCAGATGTCACAATAACTTAAGTAAGAAAGGCTAATTATTCAGAAACCATACCTGTTGCAGATACTTCAGGGAACAATTATATTAGTATTGACATTATAAGCTGGCCTGTGCGTCCTTGTGCAGCACCAGGGATTATTGTGTTAATGTAACTGTCAGGTTGTTCCACTTGAAAGTTTGAACTTTGAACTGATGGCCTATGGAAATCACTAAACACATGTTAAACCCAAATCAATGCAATAGTTGTTTTTCGTCTCCGTGTCATTCTTTTATCGTGTATGTTAGGCACTTTGCTTACTACTAATTGAATCTGATATGCAATCAATCATCCTTATTTTTTCACCTTAGCGATCTATTAGGTTTTTAAGCTTATAATTGCAGATCCTTCCACAAGCGGGAAGCATGTGGGCCAGTTTTTATCACTTCGGCATCCCAAAACTGGTAATTTTACTTCCTCGGTGAAATAAATTGTTTATACCTTGTGGAGATGAACAAGGTCTGGTTAGCTCGTTCTCTAATAAATCGGCTCATCATTTTATTAATTTGTTTATCATATTATTCCGTTTTCCCTCTTTTTCAAAAATTATTTAGCCTCTGTTTGAAAGAATTTGTAAATGGTTTAATTTATAAATATATAAAAATGAGTGGTGGAAAACTGGATAGTACGTGTTGGTCCATTGGAATGTGCGGTTGAAAATGATGTTTGACCATTTATAAATTGTTTTATAAAGTGTTCCAAACCGAGTGTTAACTTTGGATGTTAATTCCGCTATGTTATGTTCAAGTCTTTGAGGCAATTCACTTACGTGACAGGAAATATGGCATGCTACCTCTTTATTGACAGAGTTCTTCAAGAACTTCACTGGTTCAAGCAATCTTATGGGTCTTGGTTCCTTGGGGACTATGTTTGTGAAGGTGAAGACATCCATTTAGCATAATTTGCACATCCATGTATATGTCATTCACCATGGATGACAATTTGAATGGATTGATATATGCCATTTGGCAAAACTTTTAGTTTTTGCAGTCTTCTTACAAATACCTTCATGCCACGTTCCTTTTCACCAGTGAATAATAAGAATCCTGCCAAAATTTCTCAGTCAACATTTCTTATTTGGCTCTTTTTCATTTTCCCCATACAGACGGTCGCTTGTACACTGCTACTCCAGTTGATCCTGTCTTCATTCTGTTGCCAATTTTTGAGGAAGCACGGATGAAGGTCTGCAGTCACTGTTTAATGTTGGCTGCGGCTTTTGGATTTGAGATGCTTTTCCTTGTCTGCTTTGCTCTTCTGGCATATGTTTCTAGTTAGACTTAACCTCACAAGCAGTAGAATATAACCATTTTGTTATGGACGATAATTTTTATATATCAAAATCAACACTATTTTTGCAATGGCTGTTCTTCTGAACTCTGCAAAATATGATTCATTCATGTTTTTTTGTTATGTCAACTTGTGAAGTGCAAACATAAAGATGTGTGGTAGCCTAGTTTCTCCTTATCATCTTTAGTGATTCCTCACTGTAATTTGTGCAGAAAGGGGATGATCCGGGAAAGTTTAGGCAATTGGATGAGATAGTTTATGTTGATGGCTATCCTGGATATCATACTCTGTTGTCCATTGCGGAGAAATCTATGCAAATAGTCTGTGATCTCAAAGGTGATCTATTTGCTATTCTTTTGGTACAAGCTGTACATATGGCAATGTTGCATGTTAATGCTTTGTGTGTGTGGTTTTGGGGGTTGACAAGGTTGTCCACTAGGATCTTTCCACTTCGGACCAAGCTACTAAGGCTTGTCATAACTCTTGTTAAGTAAATTGCCAACTATGTCTAAATTTGTTTCACCAAATTTTTCTCTCTTCTTTCTTACATGTTATATTTATCCTTATATAAAATCTCACACATTAATCCCTTGTTTGGTGGAGATTAGAATCAGATTTTTAGCAAATTTTGATAAAAGTTGATGGAATGTGTGGTTGAAAAGTTGTGGGTCTTATGAATTGTATGGTTAAAATTAATTATTGAATTTGACTCGGATTTTAATCAGATTTTTTAGTAATACCAAACGGGCTATATGAAAGAATAATTCTTATGGGTTGGGCCACTTCCATGTCAAAGTTAATAGTTATATAATATAGTGAAGGCTATCTTCTCTTATACATCGTTCCAAAATGATAGCAGAGATTCCCAGAAATGAAATAGCTTAATTGTGAAGTATAGGGGTGGTATTAACATGGTTTATTTTGTTCTTTTGAAACATATAGCTGCCGAAGTAAATAGTTTCCTTCAGTTTTATGTCATTTTTTTTTAAAAATTAACTGATGAAGGATTTTCTGTTCCCCTATCCATTTCTATTACAGAAATTGGGTCGACCAAGTTTTTTAGGCTCAATGATTTAAAGGTATTGAGGTGGTTGTGCTACAAGGTTAGTTTTGTTCTGTTTTGGCCTTCATGTGTAGGTGGCTATCAGAGTTAATGAGAACACGTTCTTCAGTTTGCAGGATGTAATTTTGTAGTTATTTTGCACAATCCCTTTTCCCCCATGCATTTATTTAATACCTCGACAAATTGTAGGTCCATCAACTGAAGAAGACTCTACCAACATTGGATAAGAACTATGCTGCTCGAGATGAGAAAGACACATGTATGTCTGTAGCATGTTCAAAATTTTGTCACCTTTTCTCCTGCCATCTTGTAAATTTTAACTACTCCAAACCTCTTGAGATTCTCATCAGGGATTTTGGACTAGATAGGCTATGAAGAGACACAACTCAAAGATTTTGAATATTACATTTAAGTGCACATGCTAGAATCAGTAAGGAGGCAAGTAAAATACGGAGATTGAAGAGCCATCCTGTAAATATTTTCAATAAGGAGTACATTTAAAAAAGCTGGTCTCAAGGATCCTATCAAGACTGATAGTTGTATTACTCCAAGACCAGCTAGTTGACGTTAGCCTAAAGCATATCTTGTACCTTAACAGGCAAGATATTTTTCATTCATCCGTTTATTGTGCCGTATTATAAGAAGAATTTTGATATTCCCAAGTGCTAATGACGATACAAAACACACATTTCTTGGTATTTGATTCTTAGATCCTAGTTGCAACTTTGCAAGATTACTAATTAGGCATCCATAATCAAGTAAGACACCTGATTTCTGTATCTGAAGGGCTAATTAGTTTCAAACCGTTGACGTGAGGTGTCAGACTCACCATTTTGGTGTGTGTCAGAAACAATTTATCGAAGTAACTGTAAGATAGAACACAGTCACATGTTGTTAGAAATATGGTCATTGATTTGTTCAATGTTTAACATGTGTACGTGATTCTTATACCTGAAGCATTAAAGTTGGCTTGTGTATGAGTTATTACAGGGTTGGGATATCTAATTTTTGTTTTAGTTTTTGAGATTTGTATAAGATGTCAAATTCGTATAATAACAACAAATGAGATTGTAATTTATTCACAAAATATTAGGGCATTGCTACCATGCATCATAGGTTTACCAAATTCCGCTTGCCATATGTCATCATCTTAGATTGTGGGGCAATATATCTTCGTAGTACAGGCTGATTGTTGTTTCATTAACATTACTGTGTCTATATTCATACTTTCAATCATTTTCGTATGCTAAAATTTACTTCATTTGTGTGTCCAGCATTATGTATTATGTGCCACTGTCTCATAAATATGAATGATCATGGGTTCATCGTTTTGCCTTGATATTATTACCAAGTATACAGGTGGTAGATCTTACTGTCTCCTAAACCAAATGTAAAATGATTTGAAACTGATTAGCATCTTTGGATGGTTACAGTATTTGAAGCAGTGTCAATAGTGGGAGAGTACTTGAAGGAAGAGCCTTGGTTGAACCTCCTGTGCAGCAAATTCAAGTATTGCTTTTCACCAAGTAGCAATTATCTGTTTTTCCCTTTATAGTCGTATCATTCACGGTCTTTAAATAGCTATGGTAATTTGCCTAGCACCTATTTTGAACTGAATGGCTTTGAAATCGAAACCAAATACACTAGTGATTGGTTGTGATGACTAATATGTCTGGCACAGTAGGTTAGGCATCTTAGTTAACTTAAATAGATTCACAAATAATAGAACATTTGAAGGGGGATTTTGCAGTTATCCAAATTGTGAAATATAAGTATTTTAATTTCCAAAAATGGAGAAAATTTTGCTCTCATTTCATGCTAGTAAGATGTGGCCAACCATGACTTTGGTGACTTTTGCATGACAGCTAGAGTTTTGAAGTATTGCAAAAAGAATGTATCTTTTTTATGTTGGATATCAATGTGATAAAAAATAAGCATTTCCATAAGAGCAAATTGATCAACATTTACTCTGAAGATTGATCACTTCTGCATTGATATAGCGGTCTCTGTCCCTTGCTAACTTTTATAGGACACCTTGACTCATCTTGCATTGGGGTTGGAAAGAGATTAACTCTTCTGTGATTTGGATAAAGAGGGGCTATCGTCTGAAATCATCTTTCTTCATCTTCTATTATGTGTTTACCAATCATTTTTTGGTGATTGCAACTGCAGATTAAACTTACAAGAGGCAGCGAATGCACGAGATACTGAAGTAGGTTTACATTCCAACGGAAGTGGTCCTGCATCCTTTAATCCTGTTCAGGTATGTAAAACCAGAACAGTTTCTTAATAATTTCTTTTTCTTTTTCCTAGTATGTGATCAATTGCACATCTTTTACAAACAATGAGTAGACCAAGATTGTCATCTCCTCCCATTTAGATTAAAGTTCGAGGTTTGTTACTTCCTTCATCCTGGTATTCTATTTGGGTTTTTATGATAAATTCATCCCCTTTTGTTTGACCAAATTCACTGTCTTCAATATTATTATGTACAATGCCTTTCAAACATGTGTAGTAATAAATTCAAGTATAAATAACAGCCTGGTTTGAAACACCAATGCCAAATCTGTTGGTAAGTGCACTCTAATGGTTCGTTTGGTAAGGTGGATTGCATAGAATGGACATAAACATGGGTTGAATGTATTAATTTATTTTCCTTTTCTCCACCTTTTTCTTGTTGAGTATTACTAGGTTTGTTTTTTGTCTCTCTCTCTCTCTCCATATGACAATTCACTTTTCCTCCAGGAGAGTAACAAGAAAACTATGCGGACCACGAGGCAAACTAAGAAGGCCAAAGTAGAGGAGAATTCGAAAAATATCAAAGACATGTTCTCCAGGGCTGCAAGAAAGGGAAGATGATGTTATGTCCATAGATGTGGTGCTGTATTGGAGACTGGAGGTATCTTTGAAAGGGTAAAGTAGTCCTTTTACCCACCTAACTGAACAGAATGGCCAAATGAATGAACTCAGTGACCACGAAACCCTTTTAAACCGGCATTGAAGTTCATTGTTGTATCACTATTGTTTAAACTAAATTTTTGTGGATTTATGAATAATGCCATTCTTGTGCGAATATTTTTCCCATAAATAGGGATGTAACGTGACAGCTTGTTTTTCCGTCCCATGGGGCTCTTGATCACTCAGTATTTTTCTTCCATCAGCCTGAATTAATCTACTAGACTTCATCAAGGTCATGGATCAGAAGGGCTTTTCTACCACCACATAATGAATCTATATAAGCTTTGCCTTGGTGCTTTAGATATTTGGGCAGGGGCGGCACAAATGCAGGCCCTCGCCCTGCTGGCCACAAATTATGATGTGGCCAACCTTAGTTGGGGTTGGGCACCCTTTTCCAAGTGCAATGGAAGTCACCAACCTAGGCCTGGTTTTCTTTGACCCGTTCAGGTGTGTGTAATGAATTCACCAGGTCCATGTTTATAGTGCTCTCCAGCCATCGTTCTTATGGCCCATGCATTCATATATTTTTTGGTTTCTGTTTTCAATTGATTTTGTCCTCTTTGAAAAATACTTCTCTTTTATTTCTCATAAATTTTGCAACTCGAAGAAAATCAAGAGAAAATAGAAACTGTAATTTGGCTGAGCTTAAAAATTTATTTTTAAAATAGTAGATGTGTCAAGACAGACTTACAACTTAGGCTTGAGATGATCGCCCAATAAAAATTGGATTATTCTATGTGTGCACCCTGTGGTGTACACAATTTTTTATGAATTGTACTATGTGTACACAATCTTTTACACTTCCCTTACATGGAGATGGGGCCCACAAATATTTTATTGTGTGTGGTACCATGTGAGGGATGTGTAAAAGATTGTGTAAACTATTGTTTACACATAGCACTTCCCATAAAAATTAGATCAAAACCAGCTCAACTCGGTGGATTGAATGTTGCATGATAAAGCTTTGTTTATCAAAAGAATTAACATGTAAATTCTAAAGTGATAACAATGAATTACTGGACAAACGATGCACCTGCTCTATAAAATTTGAATTATTTTTGCAAACATGCTGCCTCCACTTCTTACTGAAACAAGTTGATCAAATTCCAGAGCGCACATAACCAAGAAAAAGAAGCCAACGATTTTCTCTCTGCAACAATCCCTTTTCGAGATTTTAAATATCACAAAGAAAAACACAAATTCAAGTTAAATATATGGCCGAAGAAGAACCGCCGCCACCATCTAGATCACCAGCCTCAGTGCGGCCCATGATTTTATTATGGACCCAGAGTTCAAAGCATAGTTCTCAGCTCGTCACTCATGGCTTTTTTGAAGGTACGAGTCTTGGATTTCTTGATTATTACTTTCATCTTTGCTCAATATGGGAGTTAACTGCCCGCAAGATAATGTCTCGCCAATCTTGAATTTCAATTACTATTTGAACGTTAGACCGATCTAATTGAACATTTTGGAGAGTTGAAGGGAGTATTTGGAGCCCTTATTTGTTAATTTTCATTTTTCATCTTGAGTTGACTTATTAGTATACCCTTAACATAAGGGGGTGGAGAATTTATGTTTCAACAGAATAGGCCAGATGGTTTAGTGGTTTCGGAGCAGATAGTGATGCTTACTCTACGGCCGAGGTTGTCTCCGGCGAGCTTGCTTGATTCACCGGAATTCTTTCCTCATTCTCTGGTAATTTATTTAACTTAATTTAGAAAATTGTTTTATTATTACAGCTCGATAGAGACAAACTGAGTGTTAATATTAATCTTGGATTATTACTAATATTGAATGGCTATGGAAATTTTGAGGAAAATTAATAGATGAAGTTCATTATAATTTCTCAACAAATCTATGGCAGAAACCGAAAAGGTGGAATTTGTTGTTTGAACCTTTGGAAAGAAGTGTATCTGATGTGAGTAATTTGTGATAGGTAGTTATTTCATGTTGTTTAACAAAAAAATAAAAGGTAGGGATGTTTTTCGCAATGATAGTGAAATGTAGGGACATTATGTGCTAATTAACCTTTTAGTAATTCTCGTTTGCATTTTTCAAAAAAGTTGGGATTATGTTTGCAATTAGTTTTTTCTTTTTTCTTTTGTTTGATTTAAAGGAAAGGGTATTTTCGTCATTTCACAATTTTTAATTGAGAAAATGGATGAAAATGACATTTTGCTCAATGAAATGTGTAAATATGGGTGAAAATGCAAACAAATGAAAGAGGTAATTTATTTAACTTAATTTAGAAAATTGTTTTATTATTACAGCTCGATAGAGACAAACTGAGTGTTAATATTAATCTTGGATTATTACTAATATTGAATGGCTATGGAAATTTTGAGGAAAATTAGTAGATGAAGTTCATTATAATTTGTCAACAAATCTATGGCAGAAACCGAAAAGGTGGAATTTGTTGATTGAACCTTTGGAAAGAAGTGTATCTGATGTGAGTAATTTGTGATAGGTAGTTATTTCATGTTGTTTAACAAAAAAATAAAAGGTAGGGATGTTTTTCGCAATGATAGTGAAATGTAGGGATATTATGTGCTAATTACCCTTTTAGTAATTCTCGTTTGCATTTTTCAAAAAAGTTGGGACTATGTTTGCAATTAGTTTTTTCTTTTTCCTTTTGTTTTATTTAAAGGGAAGGGTATTTTCGTCATTTCACAATTTTTAATTGAGAACATGGATAAAAAAGACCTTTTGGGCAATGAAAGATGGAAATAAAGGTGAAAATGCCAAAAAATGAAAGGTAGGGATGTTTTCCACGATAACAGTGAAAGGTAGGGACGTTATGTGCTGATTACCCTTTTGTTAAAATCTGTTTCGTTTTCAAAAATTTTGGTGAAAATAGTTGCATGAAACATATTGCTATTTTGAGATTGTTTACCGGAAAGTTCTTACAGCTATTAGCCATAGATGATTGAATAAAAAGAATGTAAGGAAAGAACTATTGGTGAATAAGAATTAGGTGGTTGCTCTGAGTTGGTACTTTACCCGTGTTTCAACTATTTGTTTGTGGGTTTTGCTTAATATGGGGTCTCTATGGGACGTCCCATCAACAAATACCGGCTTCAATTATGGCTCAAGCCTCAAGCATCTATAAACAACAGATTCCATGTTTGAACTTCACTGCCAAATCCTTTAGATGATGGAAAGCTCGTGAAGGGTGATCGATGTCATCGAAGATATTATATACATAAGCATCCAGATTGTCCAGCCATTAAGAAAGTCAATGAGACTCTTGATGGTCGTCAAATAACCCGAGCATAGACGAAGGAAAGCATAATCATCAGCTACTCAGCATTGGAAATTCAAATGGAAACTTGAATCTTCAAGGAGACTCAGAATTGGGCTCTGATGGGTTGCCTTCCAGCCAAGTTACACCCAGCATGTATCTGGATTGAGTGACAGAGGAAGTGGGCGGTACTGAAACTAGAGTCGAAGGAAGGGATGACGATGAACCAGAATCCATGCAAGGTATAGGTGTTATCCTGAGCATGTCATTCTTCAGACAGTTAAATACTTTTTCTACGTATCTTGAGCTGTATATCTTATTGAATTATTGGTAGGAACATAAAGGTCCAGACATCAGAGCAAACATTGAATCCCCACAGTTACAGAACCTAGATTAGTTATTGTGGTTGATCTTTTAGATGATGGCTATAGGTGGCACCAATGTGGCCAAGAGGGTGATATCAGAAGCCCTTACCTGAGGTATAAACTTTTCTTCTATTTCATCTATCCCTATAAAAACTTTGTGTCATGGTATGGACATATTTTAATAATTTGAATCGGGTGCTATATTTACTCAGGGAAAAACTGGAGTATATATGTCTATTGATTTTATTGATTGGTGAGCATTTACTAATGAGCTCTAGTTATACAGCATTTGCACATTAGAAGCGTCCTGCCTTTATTTTTTAATATGACTGTCGTGATCTTGCCTGTGTAATTGCAGTTAATAGCAAAGTGCCAATAAATCAGTCCCCACGGCCTCTGTTTTGAAATCATCTCAACATGATCAAGAATCTAACCTTGTCCAATTCCCCCCACCCCCTGAAAAATAAAAAATCTAACTAGAGATGAAAAATGAGTGTTAGGAAGTGCAAATGCTGCTAGTCCTCTTGCATTTTGTTATCAGTATGTCTTGTTGGACTATTTGGAGCCTAATTATAGTGGTCACTAATGTCCTTGACCATGGATTGACCTACGAACCATTTTTAAACAAAGATAGATATATAGACTGAGAGAGGCCAGATATCTCCATTGTTTACAACTTCTTCCCCCTCTTGATTTTTGTGAACATCTACAGCAGCATCCATAGCTCTTGCATTGAGGGTGAACAGCTATAAATCTATTTGTTTGTGCATGTGCACTTCCACTTTATCAGTAACATGTCTGAATAATTACCATTTTGTCTCATGTGCTGGTAATGAACCTCTCTCTCAATGGGTAGTTTCTTTAGAATTTTTTCTGAATCAGTTTAATTCCATTTGCAGAAGGCACTACATATGTGCAAGCGAGGGCTGCAAAGTCTGAAAGCACGTTCAAAGTATTGCATGACCCAGAAAATGTCAAAACAACATATAAGGGCAGGCATAATCATGACGTAGCTTCTGCCTAAACCAGCAGCCGCAACACAACCAATGTAGTTAAGACCGCACAATGCTGTCATTGATAGACAAGCGACAAATGAAAGAACAGAATAGGTAACAAAAAGCAACAGACTATAGCACTCTCGGATTTAAAGATGAGAATAGCATAGGATTGTAGCACTCAAGGCCACGATTTAGGTGCAAGCTATATTCAAGCGGCTTCAGAAATACAGAATATACAGTATTAGTTAATAGAAATGACCGTCTACACAAGATACAAAGATGAGAATTACATTGGATTGTTTGTAAATTTCATGTACTGGAACAGGGTTTGTGCTGTCAGCATTTGCGCTTTCTTTCTGTAAAAGACTTTGTAATGCCCATATTGCATTCTGAAATTTTCCTTTTAACCCTTGCTTTTGAAAATTATGGATCTTTGGACTTGCACTTTTCTTTGAATATTCTGACTGTAACTGGAGTTCTTTTTATCTTTATTTCAAGATGTATGTAGTTGGGGTTGGCTGCAAATTGTTAAGAGTTTCTTATATGGACAGAAATCCATTGTCTCAACTCTTACGGGAACGTTGTGTGCGCGCATTAGAGGTGCCGAGAAAAACCTGCAGTGGCGAGTAAACAGAGCACGAATCACTTTGTATCCATAAAATGTTCTTGCATGCATATATGTTTGACTTCTATATGTTGATTGGCAACAAAATTAAAGGAAATACTAGTTTATATGAAAAAACTCTGGTCGGTGAATTTATTATCGAGGAAAGAATGTACTTTAAATAGTAATATGATGTGAATTATGTGGTTAAAATGTAAGGAAAAATTATTGATGTGATGAAAAATATTATTTTATTGAAAAATGTATGGTTGAAAATGAGTTTTGAAATAATGTATTTTGAAAGAATGTGTAGCTAAGAATGAGTTTTCTTCTACCATATACTGAACTTATTTAAAACTTGGGTGTGACTTCTGTCAATGTAGTTGTCTCAAGATTGTTGAAGCTTCACTATAAGTAATGTTATCTGACAGTTTCACAAAAAAATTTGAACTCTAGAGCAGGGGCGGAGTTAGGAACTTATACTAGGGTGGAGTTTCCAGTTGGAGTCACTGGTAGGGTGGGTGTGGCCCCGTGGGTCAGTTTTGAGCACAATCTAAAATCGAAGCCGACCAAGCCAATTTGGGTAAATTCCACCTGAATGCCAAATTTTGGAGTGTGTTGGTGAGAGCAGGGAAGGTATAGGGTTGAATAATTGTGATCATGGTTTAATGGGTTGGGATTAGGATATAAAACTTAGTCGACCCAATTGGTTTGAAACAGTCCATCTTACTTTACACGTCTAGTCTAACATACCAAATATGCTTTCATTTTAACCAAAGAACTAAGGCTGTGTTTGATTTGTAACATTTTCCTTGAAAGTAAGAATATCTTTTTCAACTAAACGAGTGTTTGATAGCCAAACAATTTCATGGAACTCCTCTTCCAGCTTTCACTTCACGTGCCCACTTTTCCTTCTTTTTGATGAAATTGTTTTCCCATGGTTTTCATGGTTTTATGTTTTCTAACTTTTTCTTTTTGGCAATTGGAAAAAATTCTAAATACAATGGTAAAAAAATTTATTACTTTTATTAACAATTTTTATGCAAAACAAAGTCAGGCTAATGGTATTCGGTATGGTAAATTTTTTTTTTTTGCATGCAATATATCTTTTCTGTAATTTTTATTTGGGAAAATTACGGCTACACTCCCTAACCTTTCATATTGCGTGGTTTCCATGATTTTTTATCAAAATCTACTAAAAACTAATTTTTATCTAAACCAAACAGGGGCTCAGATTCCAATTTTTGCGTTCTTTTTAACACATAAATTTATGCAAATACTTGTAAAATGTTATTTAAAAAGGACCAAAGTTGGAGTCTTGGAACATAGACTTGGCCATTCTTTGGGTTGTATACATCTAGTGGTTGTGATTTGGAGTGTTTTCAGCCGGCTGTTGTGATCTGGGGTGTTTTCGATTGGTGGTTGCATTAGGTAGCGACTAAGAATGGGAAGGTAGTGGCAGTAACAGTGATACACATATATATATATACAAAGTCTAGGATTCTATCTTAGGAAAGTGTATAAATTAGGATCCTAGAATAAGATAATTAACTAATTATATCTATGACACCAAATAATTTCCAGTAATAGGAGCATGCTTTTTAAACTTTGCAGGGTGCATAAACCATTCAATGCATTTGTTTAGTTATATTCTTACCAGTGCAGTATATACGAGTTGGTTGAATTAGAACTAAACTCAAGCCTGTTAGTTGTTAATTAAAAGTACCTTTTCTTGATTATGCTCTCAGTACTATTTAGGATGGGAAGCTTTTTTAATATTTTGACTGTTTACTGATGCTACATCCGATTAGAACTCTGGCTATTGTAAGGAATTCAATGGACACATTGCCAATAAAAATTCTGCTTTAGCTACTTTAACCATGGAGCTGTAATTATTAAATTTTTTTTTTAGTTTTTTTTGAAATTGGAACAAATTCTAGACTCAATAATAAAAAAAATTATCACTTCAATGGACAATTTTCATGAAAAACGAAGTCAAACGGACACCAAACTTTCAACATTTTTCAAGTGGAAAATTATACTAATCAAACACCATTAATTACAATTCTTAGTAAAACAAATTCTAGGCAATTCATTTTCTTTCCACCCATTTTCCACCATTTCAATCAAACGCCCTGAGTACTTTTCCATTTGTACCGAAAATGAATGACAACGAGTTTGACAACCTCTTACATTTGAAATTATTCATGTACACCGTTCGAGGCTAAACCCTGAAAGACAGTGGATCTATACTGGATCTAAAGCACTTGTAATTAAATAAAGTTTAAGAGAGTTTTTGCTCTTAAACCTTCTTCAATAAAACTTCATGTTTTAGATCATGTCTTCATACTTCTACTCTTATATGCAAAACCCATGTATGGATCTATAAGGATCAGGACAAAGAAGTACCGCTAGGCAGGAGGCCGTTAGGGAAACAAGTCCAGATGATCCACCATAGTGAGGCATGGACATCATATCAGACAGAAGCGTAAGAAGACGACCCCAATTTCTACATACAGTAAGATGATTTATTTGCTTAAAAGCTTTATTTATTTATTTTACATGTGGTCTAGTTGGACTCCATTGTCTACATTTTCATACATCATAAAACATTTTACATTCCGCACACATAGCTCCGAAAATTGGTAATTCTGGCCTGCATTAATTTTTAACTAAGTGCTGGTTTTCCTGAGATGTATGCTCATTCATATTTTTCAAAACTTACCTAGTGTAATGCGAACATTATGTTTTCAGATTAACACCATGTTAATGGTAAAAGATTAATTTGAAGAACAACACGGCAATGGGTAGAATACCAATAATGAGAAGCATAAGAACAAGTTATTGTCACTTTAATCTACAGAATCAACAAACACAAGGAGAAGTGTCGATTCTGACTTCTAAATACACGTATCTTCCTCTGTGCGAACTGAGTAACCTACACTAGTGTACAATACCTTGGGGTGCTTAGTAGTGTTTGCGGATATTGGTGGTATTGTTCCTAAGCTAAAAGTCTGTATTAAGTATTCGTGTTTACGTCATTGATGACGTGGCTCAATGATCTTTCAGATAATTTCAATTAACTTAGTCAAAATCAAACATTCATTTCAATCAGACATTTATAACTACTACCATTTATTATTATCAACAAATTTTATGGGATCCAGTACTATTCTCTTAATATTCCTACTTATAAACCATTTATGAGTTTGCCGAACGGAAACTTAGTTGTAAGCTTAATTTGATTTGTTGACTTCGCTTCTTGTTCATACCCCACTAAGAATGACAAAATGTCTTGCCCTGTCACATAATTGGGACAAGGATGGAACGCAAGACCCATCACATTATTTAGCCCCTGTTTGACCATTATTTTTTTTAAAATTTATTTTAAGGGTAATTGAAGCAAAACGTCCCTATCTTTTCCTATCTTTGTGGAAAACGTCCATACATTTCGTTTCTTAACGCAGAATGTCCCTACCTTTCATTTTTTTTTTTTGCGCAAAACGTTATTTTCCCTAATTTTTAACGTAAAATGACCGATATACCTTCCAATTTAAATAAAACAAAAAATTAAAAAAAATAAAAAACAAATTGTAATATGCTCCTAAACTTTTTTAAAAAATGCAAATCAGTCC